TGTGAAGAAAGAGTATTCTATCTCAAATGTCTTTCAAATTTATGGACTGTATTTATTTGTATCTGTCTTGTCTTTCTTCATGGTCTGTTCAGGAGTACAGCGGCCAGGTAACAGTTTCATTCCATCTTGACGCCATCTCATGCATCTTGATTTTTTTAAATAAAGGAAATCTTCGCAAGATATTGAAATATTCTTCTTTTTGCTTACACATGATCAAAAACTATTTTTTAATCTCTTTTTTTTGCGTTTTATTTTGCACCTTATATTCTGATTGTATTGATCAGGGGCGAAACGTCTAAATTATCAAATTATCACTGCTTCCCTTCCTTTATTTAGGAACATCGTCGCAGTCAAATTCACCCGTAGACGTAGGCCTTGTACCTGTAAAAAGACGTTTTTGAAATCGTCAAATGAGCACTCATTCACCTTTTTCGGGCCACTCTCATAAGCAGTCACAAGCACTGATTGTGTCCACTAACAATTAGACTGGTAGTGTACTTTAAAAAGATGAGGTAGACTAACTCTTAACAATGTCATGGCTGCCGTGGGTGCTTGCATTTTTAAGCTCGATTTTTTACCGCCCAATGTTTAGTTTATGGCATGATTCTGGCATCAGCTCCGGGCCACGAAAGGCTAGATAAAGACAGCCAAATTTGAAACTAAACTGATCATAATAATGTACTCAGAGGCAAAAGTAACACGAAATTTTCATCGTCGTTATAGCATTAGAGAAAGATTCTATTGGTGAGTACTTTTTACTTGTTCCATGGAAGCATGATCTGAACTTGTCAGATTGGCCTCATTCGAAAAATACAATGCTCTGATTGGTCGCTTATGCTACAAGCAACTATAACAACTAACACAGCACTCAGGCACTCGCTTGTCACATCGTTCGAGCAAAGAGCTTGTGTTTGTGAGGTCACGTAGGCCTGGCCTATAAATTTGAAGCCTCGAAATTTGGAATTAAGTTGAAAACGAAAGCAGTATCAAGATGCCGAGACTTTCTTTAGAAAACCGTACGAGGGCTATTGGACGACCACAGGCTGGCGAGTCTGCTCAACATGTGACTACTGTTACAGGCGTGCATGTCTGCACTACCTATAGACTACAGAACCAGTTTCGAGCTACCAAATGACCAGTGATCTCCCCCAAGCCGGAAGACCGAAGGGCAGGCGACAACTGCATCTCAAGATAGCTTCGTGGTGCGCCAACACCTGATGGATCCGTGCGGGGCATCCGCCGAAACCATCAGGAACACTATCAGACGAACCGGACGGGCCCTAAGTACCAGAACCGTACGGCGGAGATTGCACTTCTCAGCCTCTGGTGCAGACGGCTGTGTCGCATGCCAACTCTGACCCCTCAGCACAGCCGTGACCGGCGTCTTTGGGCACAAGCGCACATTAACTTGAAGAACAGACACTGGGGAAGGGTGCTGTTCACCGACAAGAGCAGATTCTTCGTTGATCCAGCAAATGGGTGCATCCGTCTTGGGCGTGCACAGACCTGATGCGCTACGTTGATGCCAATGTCGCAGAGAGAGAGAGAGAGAGAGAGAGAGAGAGAGAGAGAGAGAGAGAGAGAGAGAGAGAGGGAGAGAGGGAGAGAGAGAGAGAGAGAGAGAGAGAGAGAGAGAGAGAGACCCACGGGGAAGGGTAAGCGTTATGTTTGGGGAGTTGTCTCCCTAAATAAAAGAACTGGGCCTGTGTTTTTCCTTAACGCTGGTTATGGACAAGGAAATGGGGTCACAGCTTAGCACTGCATCGCCCAAGTTCTTCGGCCTCATGTGGTGCACTCTTTTGCCAGAGACCTCCAAACTTCTTTTTTCAACAAGACTGACAATATCAATTTTTGCTTCATCTAACTTGTTTACCCGATGTAAGCCCCTTTGAGAGGTCCATCCAGAGGCAGCTCGTCAGGTGCAACCACGATCCCTGACGACTCTTTCAATGACTGCATTCACCGGCCAAGTGTGGGTACAGATTCCAGATCGACAATTAATAAGCTATCTCGTAAACACTAGGAGTCGAAGATGCAGAGCGCTTATTACAGCCAACAGAGGTCACACACAGTACTGACTTTCTGTCCCACGGTGAAGGTCACAGAAATAATATAATGACGCTAAAGCCACACTAAAACACCCACATATTAACACTCTCGTAGCTGTGTAAATTGGACGAATTAAAATTTCATTTACACAGGAGAGACCCTTGTTGACTTTAGTTTTGTTTTGTTCATGCTTTTTAATTCTTCGCGTATCTTTTGCCTCTGAGTATACATCTGTAGTGTTTTTATCCCCGCTTCTTTGCTGCTTTTTTTTTTTTTTTTTTGCATATTCACAGCTTTAATAAAATTTACCATAGAAAAATCAATCTGGAGACAATTATTTTCACCGCACGTTTAAAAGTTATACTTACGTTTTGCCCAAAGTACGAATAAATATTAATCAGTGAGATATTTCTAGAGTATTTTGACGGGTGAACATAAATATAACAATTCAGGATTTGTTTTCATTTACAACTCAGTGATGCAGCCCCGATTAAGAAGTTTTGCTTAAAATCATTGTCCTATTTTGATAACGCTATTCGTGTGTGACCTCATCTTTGTCTTGTTTTTTGTCTTACTTTGATTACCCTGTCAAACAGGTCAGCCTTCGCCCCTGGTCTTGATACAAGATGCAGTAGACAATAAAGCTCTACAAAGTTTTAGTCCCTGCGTGCAAGTTTCCATGGGATCCAAAAACAAACCTTCAGGATTTTTTCGTAGACTTTTGGCCCCTCTGTCCTAAGTTTGAGCTCACATTTATTTTCCTCACTATACCTGGATGCCTGGAGGTGTCATCTCTGACTCAGGGATTGACGTGTAATGACCCTCCATCTTTCAGTCGCGAGCTGCCGTTTCACATTCTGCCATAAAAAGTCCAGTCCGTCTTCCTCTGTTGTCCATCCATGTTATTCTTTGCCTTCCTCTGGCTCTCCTGTCCCATATCTTTCCTTCAAGCACCTCTTTCACAAATGGTTTTTCTCACTATATGGGTTTCTAATGTTCTATTTTATTCTGTCTTTGTCCAGGATTACAGCGGGTCTGGCGATGATAACATCATCATCGATAAACCTGGACCAGAAGATCGTAATACACAGGTGAGGATTTGAGGAATGGCGATGTTTTCTGTGTTGTTTCTCTGTAGTTCATGGTAGGTGCTGTGCTTGTTATCGCCAAGCCAGCAAAAATGTCGGGGGAGAGAGAGAGGGGCGGGGAGAGAAAGAAAGAGAGAGAGAGAGAGAGAGAG